GGAGGAGGAGGAGGAGGAGGAGGCTTGTGGGATCCTTGATGCTCTCTGGGCTTTGTGGTTTTCTTGCAGATGTTTCATTACCCAACTAGGTAACCTCATCAGTGCTAGAAGGAGTGGGGTGTGTGGAGTGGAGGAGGAGAAGAGTGGGAGAAGGAAGAGGATTATGGTGCCCTTGGTGCCCTCTGGGCTTGGCTGCCTTCCTGCAGATGTCTCATCACCCAACTAGGTAACATCATCAATGTCAGTCACCCTGGTTTCCCCTCGCCAGCCTCAATTTTGCTGCAAAGGCAGAAGGCAATTTGGGGAAAAAAAGGCAATGAAAGGCATCACATAAACACACAAACCGGTGTGCTAAGCCCTTGGCACGGGCTGGGCACCCTGCTCGCGCCCGGATGCCAACATCCAAAATAAATCTGTGCTGAGGAATGGAAACCTGGTCGCCCCCCCCTCTTCCCCGTCCTTTTTTATTTCCACGAAGGTCACCATCGGCTCAACCATCGGCTTTCTCGGAATACAAAAATAGCCGGGCGACCTCAAACCCAGATAGAGCTTTTTCTCTGTGTGTGTGTGTTTGTGTGTGTTTGTGTGTGTGTGTAGTGGGGGGAGGACTGCCCAGGGTGAAGGAGAAGACAAGCTTCTGTTAAACCAGGATGTGTAACTAGCCGTGGTGCCCGCAAGACTAACAAGCAAAGCAAGACTAACAAGAAAAGAACTGGAGGGCATCTCCGCAAATGGGGCAGTCAACTTATTCCACAATTGAGAATTATTAGAAAATAAGAATACTATTATCGCATTATTAACTTGTTGAATGAAGATGGTGAGAAGTCATATAGATAAGATGTGTATCCCGAGTATTAGACTTGGGGAGGAATGGTGATAAAGGAATTGGGGTCATCTCAAGGGTGGAAATGGTCATTATTAAACGTTAAATTTAAATTATTAATGAAAAATTTAAAATGGAGAAAAATTGATTAGGTCACTGGTTGTCTAAAGCAGGGGTAGGCAACCTTGGCTCTTTTATGACTCGCGGACTTCAACTCCCAGAATTCCTGAGCCAGCCATGCTGAGGGAAAAGGGAGAGGTTTCCAAGCTGAGCCAGGCTGGCTCAGGAATTCTGGGAGTTGAAGTCCACCAGTCATGAAGGGGGCCATAGTTCCCCCATGCTGGCTCAGGAATTCTGGGAGTTGAAGTCCACCAGTCATACAAGAGCCAAGGTTGCCTACCCCTGGTCTAAAGACCGAAAGTTAAAATAAGGAAAGTTTTTAAGAAGAGACTGGACAGCCATTTGTCCGAAATGGTATAGGGTTTCCTATAATAAAGTTGGAAGGGACCTTGGAGGTCATCTAG